CCGACGTCTGATGCCAACCCAGGGGATTTCTACAAATACAAACCAGATCTGGTTGCCGCCTCCTCCAACTCTGCCAGGGCTCCCAGGACTCAGGATAAAACCCAGCTCCCTGGAGTGCCTCCCTCTGCTTTGCCTGCACTGCGCACATGCTCTGTGCCAAGCTGAAGCTCCTGAAAGCCTCAGGCTGGGTCCTCTCCCCTCCTGGCCCACCAGCTGTATACCCCCTGGAGAGGCAGAGCCCCTCAGACTCCCCCACCGTGCCGTCCTGACTCCTGACCTCTCAGCAGAGTGGGGCGGGCCTTTCCTGGGCTTCAGTCTCCCTCTGCCACTTCTACTCCTATTCCTAGGATGAATTCCAGCCCATCCTCCACAGCAGAGCTTCTCAGGTTGTACCCCTTCCTCTCTTCTCCTTCATCCCCTCCCAGGTGTGCCCATTCACTCCCACACCCTGTTGTTGCCCTGTTTAAACAGATGATGCCCCACATCTGCCCCCAGACCCTCTCCCTTGGTTCTGGATCCCAGGGTTCCTCTGGCTACTGACCACATCACCTCCCTTAGATTTCCCACTGGCGCACCACACCCAGCTCCTCAGCACCTTCCTGCTGAGGGGAGGCAGAGAAAGGAGAGGCTGTGGTCATCCACAGCCAGAGGAGAGCCTAGGGTGTGGGGTCAGGGGCAACCTGGGCTGTGGTCCCTTCTCTGAAAAGCCCCAAAGTGAAGAGCAAGTTTCCAGGAACCACAGAAGGGGCATTATTTGAAGCTATCTCCAGTCCCAACATCTGACTGCACAGGATAGACGAGGCCTGACTAGACGGGGTTCAGAGTGGACCACAAGCTCACTGAGACTGTAAATACTGGACCACATGCTCAGAGTGTCAGATGGAGATTCACGGGGCTCCAGGTGAAGGAACCCTTGCACCCTCCTTGAGCAGATCTCCTCTGGGAAATGGTGGCCAGTCACAGACTCCACATCTAAAAAGAAATTGACAGATTCTCCTGGCTGTGGTGACACATCTGGGCAGAATCTGGAAGGGCTGGGGGTGTTCTGTCCCAAGAGGGGACCTGAAAAGGCCAGCAGAAACCTGTGGGCCTGTCCCGGGACAGAGGGGGCCCTTGTCTGAGAGGGCAGATCTGAGAAGAATGGGCAGAAGCCCCATGGGGACTGGGGTTCACCTGATGCAGAAAGAACTTTCTATGAATAACTGCCCCACAATGGGGGTCCTGTCAGAGAGACGAGGCCCCCAAACAGCCACCTCTTCCCCACCGTTCTTATTCCCGGGCTCTAAGTGACTCTGGCTGTATCCCAGGGTCAAGCCCAGGACCAGATAAGCCCCAGTAATGGACTGGGATGGGCACTGGCCCAAGACTGGTGGAGGAAACTTGCTCCCCCAGCCCCACCCAAAACCTGCAAGGATGTGGGGCTGGAACTGCTGCAGCTCCAAGTTGGCACCAAAGGAGCCTGGGGGGTAGGTCCTCCTGAGAAAGCACAGCCAAAAGACAGACCGTGCAGGAGGCCTGGAGTCCCAGGCGATGCCTGTAGGGGCCCTTCCCTTCTCCTGCTGAGGTGGGCTTCCAGGCATGCGCAGTGGGTACAGCCTGAATGGAGGTGAGAGTCTAGGGGCAAACATGAGCCGGCCCCGGCTGGGGCAGGATCCATCCCCGAGGGAGACCCAGGGCTGCTGCAGTGATTCTGTGCCCTGTGCTTTGCCCGTCGGGGGTGCTGGCTGGGCACACGTGAGGCACCATCCCACCTACCACCCGTTCCCCATCTCTGCTCAAGGGAGCCGGTGTCCTGAGAGGTGGCCCTGCAGGGGGAACGGGCAAGTGGCCCCATCTGTACCCCCATCCCAGGAGCTCACCTGTCGAACAGGGGCTTCTCCCCACAATCAAAGGAATCCTGCAGGTCCCTCAACAGGTTGGCCTGGCCAGGCATGCGGAAGAGGCCCTCCTCGGTGAGCCCGCGCTCCCGGATGAAGTCCACGCACTGCTCCACCAGCAGGGGCACCAGGCTTGGGCCATACTTGCACTCGTGGTGGACGGTGTCCTCCAGGCACTGCCCAAAGATCCCTGGGCACAGAGATCCCTGGTCACACCCTCAGTTCTCCGGCCCAGCGATGGGGAAGGGCACCGGGGACAACGGACGGCAAGGGACGCTGCCAGGGCCAAGGGCAACTCCCTCCCGAGGGAGCAAATGAGAAAGAGGGAGAAGATGCACCAGGCGGCTGGGATGGGGCTGGAGCACACAGCTGGCAGTAGCCCGGCCTGTGGACCCTTCAAACAGTCCTCAGGGAGCATGCGTTATGTGCTTTACTGATTGGTTTATTTATACAGCACTAACCTCCAAATAGGAATGGCTTACATTAAAAACCCAGCAGTGTCCACTAAGAGACGCACCCTTCAACTGGCCCCTCTCAGGCCCAGTTGAAGGCACCATGAGAGGGTGTGGTGTGTGCAGGGGCTAGAGAGGCCCAGGTGTGGCGGTGGAAGGAGGTCAGGAGGGGGTGCTGGAGAAGGGTGTCAGGTAACACTCTCAAGGTTAAGAAGCTGGGCTTTCCATTACTAAAGACAAAGAAAGAGGCTGGAGGAATAACCCTCTGAGACTTCAGACAATACTATAGAGCTACAGTAATCAAAACAGCATGGTATTGGTACAAAAACAGACATATGGACCAATGGAACAGAATAGAGAGCCCAGAAATGAACCCACAAACTTTTGGTCAACTAATCTTCAACAAAGGAGGCAAGAACATACAATGGAATAAAGACAGTCTCTTCAGCAAATGGTGTTGGGAAAACTGGACAGCAGCATGTAAAACAATGAAGCTAGAACACACCCTTACACCATATACAAAAATCAACTCAAAATGGATTAAAGACTTAAACATAAGACAAGATACAATAAACCTCCTAGAGGAAAACATAGGCAAAACATGATCTCACATACATCTCAAAAATGTTCTCCTAGGGCCATTACCCAAGTAATAGAAATAAAAGCAAGAATAAACAAATGGGACCTAATGAAACTTACAAGCTTCTGCACAACAAAGGAAACCATAAGCAAAACAAAACAATAACCTATGGAATGGGAGGAAATTTTTGCTAAAGATGAAACCAACAAAGTCTTGATCTCCAGAATATATAAGCAGCTCATATGACTTAATAAGAAAAAAACAAACAACCCAATCCAAAAATGGGCAGAAAACCTAAATAAGCAATTCTCCAAGGAAGACTTACGAATGTTCAATAGGCACATAAAAAATGCTCAATATCACTAACTATCAGAGAACTGCAAATCAAAACTACAATGAGGTATCACCTCACACCAGTCAGAATGGCCGTCATTCAAAAGTCCACAAATGCCAAGTGCTGGAGAGGGTGTGGAGAAAAGGGAACCCTCCTTCACTGC